GCAGCGCTTTCTGATCCCTTCATGTACAGGTCTGTAGTAGGTGCTGTGATCAGTGGGAATGAGAACTGACTATTTTGGAATGCTGGTTCGCGTTTGCGTTTGTTTTTGCAAAATGTCGCGGTAAGCAAGAGTCGCCACCGTCTTTTATTTTATCCAACAAGGAAAGGACAAAAGCACAGAAAAATTCCTTTTCGAGATATTTCTCGGGTTCGGGAGGTAGATTATAGAAAGGGAAGGTGTTAGCACCCTTTCTATCTGTGGTTATCCACAGGCTCTTAGGTACTTGCTCACTATGTTTTCAAAAAGTTTGCTTTTCTTTGTGTTTGTGGATTTGAAAGGAGTTTTTGTTTTGAAAGGGGTGTAAGTGCGAAAAGTTTTGTTTTTTGTTTTCAAAAGAGCAAGTACTTAAGAACATCTACCTACTCAAAAAGGAACTAAACTGTGCAAATGTCCTTTAGACAATGCTATCCCACTATTGAGGAGTAGGTAGCATCGTCATTGGAGTTTTCGGGTCAATTCGATTTAAGGGACGTGTGGTCACTAAAGCAACGTTAGGACGCCTTAGCGGTAACCCTAATGTCTTAGATCATTTTATCCGAGGAAACCGTTTCGAGGCAACTTATGATCTTTGGACAAAAGGACGACCTCTAAGACATCCTATACTCAATGACCACGTTCGAGGCAACCAAGTGAGGTGTACCCTAAGAGTGGCATGTGCGAGTGTATTGTTTTTCAGTTATATTATCTTTGTATATTTAGGTGTTCTACCATTTGTTTTTAGATCTTATCATGCAATCCTAGTTAGCATACATCTAAACAGTTAATATATGTACAGGAATTTAAAGTGCGGGAATTGTAAATCCTACGCTATTACAAGGCTTCGGGGAGGGGGATTATTTACATGTCCAAAATTGGGGGAATAAAGCAGTAAAGTGTAAAAGTCTTAGTTAAGCTATTACAAACCAGTAGGCAGTTACAATAAAATAAACGCGCGCGAATCTGAAAATAACCTCTAAAAATCTTAAGAATAAAATCTTTTTGTTGTTTTATTTTATTTTGGGAAAATGATCTAAATCTACTTAATTTTAGTTTTGAGAAAATGTTAAGATAATTAAAAGATTAATTAACAAAGTTAATTTAATAGAAAAAACTAGCCTAATGTTTTTGTGGTTTTTCTTTAATTGATTTTATGTTGATTAAAAAAAGAAATAAAATAGTCAAAACAAAGCTGAAATCGAAGGAACGACAGTAAATCAAGAAAGGTATAATTCTGGAGGCCTGGATCGAAAGAGGTGTGGGCTGTCTTTCGACCCAGTGAAGAGGCTTGATCGAAGGTGCATGAGGGGCTGCACTTTGGGGGTGTTCGATCTGGACATGTCATCCTTCGATCTGGAAATCCTGGATCCAGTTCGAAACTAAGCTGCTAAGCTTCGAAACTTTGAACAGGATTCTGAGAATATATTTCCTGCAAAACGAGACAAATGTTAAAAGGTCCAGGGGGGATTTTACCCCCCTGATTCGAATCTCCTCCCAATTCGGATCCTTCCTCAATTTGAACCTGCTGAATCAGGATCTGGGTTTGTTTTATCCTGAGATTCGAAGGAGAAACTCAGATCGTGCCCAAGCAATGGCACAATCTCATCTTTGCGATGTAGCTTACATGCAACATAATCAGTAATAACAGGAATACATATGCAATGTGTATTTAAATGTCATGAAGGTGCAATTTTGGTTTTGCAAACCCTTACCAATTAAAGATGTATGATCTGTGGCGCTGGGTGTGGAGATGTTTGCTGAATGGCTGCTTTGGCTTAGATGAAAATGCTGATAACCTTTGGTGGGTTTGTGGGCAGCGTATCTCCAAATCCTCCCTGTTTCTTTTCTGTCTTTGTTCGTCCTCTGTAATGTGTCACTGGCCTCGTATTTATAGGAGTGTGAGGGTACATGAAAATGGCAAGGGACATCCATTTAACCAGGCCTTTAAAGCCATGAGACAAGAATCAGACACATTAAAAGATTTCCTTTTTTGAAATATTCATGTCTCTTTGGAATCTTGAATGAACCTGGACACTTTTGATTTTCGAATGCATTTAGGCCCTGCTCTTCGATTGATCCTGATTTGAAAAGAATCACTCTGGTCGAATCAACTCTTGTGGAGTTAGGAACAGAAAAGGAAAGAATCTGGCCTTTAACTCAGGAATTGAATCCACAATCAATTGAATTCTTTCCATATTTGCAAGGAAAACATGGCATTTTCTCATGTTCAGTGTACCTGGACATGTTTTTTGAGTGCCCTCTTGATGGCCTCTTTCGAATGGCCTGGAAGGAGTTCTTCAAATGACCCTTGTCTAAACATCAATCGAAGGGTATTTATTGAAATATCAATCGAAGAGTCCTTTGCTACGCCAATCGAAAGATCTTGTTCAGATACCAATCGAAGGGTACTAATTAAAATTCCAATCGAAAGGCTTTGTTAACATGCCAATCGAAAGGTGTTGTTCATGCTAATCGAAGGACATGGTTAACATGCATGTCGAAGCTGCCTTGACACAATGCTAAATCGAAGGATCCCTTGGCATGCCAATTGAAAGGCTTGGCCCAGGGTGCCAAACGAAAAGGTCTTTCAGAATTCCAATCGAAGGTCTTGACACAATGCCAATCGAAGTGCTTGTCCATAATGCCAATCGAAGTGCTTGTCCATAATGCCAATCGAAGCATTTTTGGAATGTCAATCGAAGTGCTTGTCCATAATGACAATCGAAGGGAATTATCCATGCCAATCGAAAGGCTCCTTCAGAATACCAATCAAAGGGTCTTTCAGAATTCCAATCGAAAGGTACTTAAAGCACCACTCAAAAATTTTCTTTTTCCTTAGGCAAGGGTTTGTGATCAACCATGCAGGGGGAAGACTTTGGAAAACATGAGAGGGTAAATTTTGGGGTACAACAGGTGCGCTTCAATATGCCACCATTACCAGACCTGACATTGCTTACTCTGTCAACAAGGTGTGCCAATTTATGTCTCACCCTCTGGAATCACACTGGGTTGCTGTGAAACGTATCCTTCGTTATCTCAAAGGTACCATCAGCTTTGGCCTCCATCTCACGCCTTGTTCTCCTTGTCAGGCACCTGCACTGCAAGTTTTTTGTGATGCTGACTGGGCGTCTGATCCTGATGATAGACACAACACTTCTGGAGCAAATATTTATTTTGGGCCCAATCTGGTTTCATGGTGGTCCAAAAAGCAGCCTGTAGTCGCCAAATCCAACACTGAAGTTGAATATAGAAGTCTTGCTCAAGCTACAACAGATCTACTATGGCTTCAAACGCTTCTTCAAGAACTCTGTGTTTCCACTCAACTTCCAGTTATTTTCTGTGATAACCAATCTGCTGTGTTGTTGGCCCATAATCCAATTCTGCATTCTAGAACGAAGCACATGGAAATTGATCTATGCTTTGTCAGGGAAAAGGTTCTTGCCAAACAGGTGCACGTTCTGGACATTACAGGTGTTGATCAAGTTGCTGATGCGCTCACAAAACCCTTGGCATCTCAAAAGTTTCTGCATCTTAGGCACAAACTCAGGGTTGCCAGCTCCCCATGAGTTTGTGTGTGTGTGGGGGGGGGGGGGGGTATTAGATGTATTCTATGTACTGACCTGCTATTGCAGGTCATCTTTCTCTTTACCCTGCTATTGCAGGTTACCCTTCTGTTTTCTATAAAAAAAGATCTCACTTGTAACAAACTCATAACAGAGTAATAGAAATTCAGTTACAATGAAAATTCTCTCTCTCTTCTTGCTTTCTAATACATAACATATCAGAAAGATGGAAGAGAGAGTAATAGTGGTGACAGGTGGCGAGAGCAGCAGTTCAATGAAAACAAATTTATGTGACTTATGGTTCCTACTTTCTATATTTTTGAGTTTGATTATAGATGTGCGTTTTGTTGATAGGAAGAAAACATAAACAAAGATAGAAAATGGTTGAATAGATAAGAAATTATTAACTGTGCGTGGAATAAAAAATTTAGAGCGTAATTATAGGTAGGGTGTACATGAGTCGGTTTGGATTGAATTTAGTCAAAATCATGACCCAACTCATACGAGGTACACTGGTTTGGGTGAGGTAAAATAACCACCCACGACATCATTGAGTTAGTTTAGGTTGAATTTAATCAAAATTATGACCCAACTCATACAAGATACACTGGTTTGAGTAAGGTAAAATAACCACCCACGACATCATTGAGTTAGTTTGGGTTGAATTTAGTCAAAATTATGACCCAACTCATACAAGGTACAATGGTTTAGGTGAGGTAAAATAACCACCCACGACATCATTGGGTCAGTTTGGGTTGAATTTAGTCAAAATTATGACCCAACTCATACAAGATACATTGGTTTGGGTGAGGTAAAATAACCACCCACGACATCATTGAGTCAGTTTGGATAAAATCATAAAATTGTGGGTTGAATTAGATTACAGAATGAATTATCCTTTTTTTTCTTTTTTTTTCTTCCTTACTTATATAATTATAAATGGTGTCACATTTTTTCTTAATAAATAATTTAACTTATTTCCATTATATTTTTAAATATCAAATATCTAAATACATGACAAAATTCATCATAAACATATTTGTAAAACTAAAATCACGTTATAATAATACCTAAAATTATATAAAATACTAACAACTTACGACCGTTAGCATCAAAATAGTTACAGTGTGACATCCTAAATAAATTAAAATCATCACTTACAAAATAAAAAACATTCAAAAGAATATAATTGAAACAATCAAATTTAAAGACATTAAAGTCATCATTTATCAAATTAAAAAAATAGATAAAAATAATCACTCAATAATTCATAAGTTTTGTAAATTGAGTGTAAATTTATTCATAACCCAATTATTTTGAACAAATTTTCATTTTTCAAATCTGTATTCATTCAATAACTCAATTCAACCCATATACATTTGGTATTGATTTGAAAGCGTGATGTTATCGTTGAGCTATCGTTTCTCTTCTTTCGCAGCTTACACCCCTGGCCCTACTACACGTTCTCTTTCTCGGAGACTCTTGTTCCTTGTTCCATCTCAAACACTAATCTTCACAAATCACTCTCTCTGCTGTCTAAAACCCATCAAACCAAATAATAACATTCGTTCTTCTTCTTCTTTCTCTAAAGATTCTCCATTTTCAGGTACCTTTTATCTCCCTTTACTCTCATTAAATGTTGTCTTTGTAACAATTACACATACCCTTTTGCATAATAAGCTTCTACAAGTTCTATTTTTTCAGGTTTAGAGGATGTTTTTGTGAGCTTCCTCTTTGGAAACAGAAAGGCAACGGATGTTGCTCACATGTATGTTTACTCACTTAATTTATGTTCTTAAGCCTCACCGGTTTGAATTATTTGGTTATTACTACCATTGCTTATAAGGATTGCATTTGTTATTGATTCAAGGGAACAAGTTAAAGTCTCTAACTCTTTTAGCCTTATTTTCTCTCTCTTGCGCTCAAACTATTTTGTTAGCACTATTTGTAGTCATGACTTGGTTAGTTATATAGATTTGTCCAAGGCTACTGTTTTTCTTATAATTTGGATTGGACATTTGGAGCGTGACCCGAGTGATCAGATAGCACGTGGCCCGACATATCCTTGATAGTCTCTGATACCATCTTAGAAGTTGGATTAGACGAAATTCAACCTTATAAAACTAGCTTGTAAGATAAGAACTACTTCTGTTTATAAGCATATCATATGTTCAGGCCATCTCTCTTATAATGTGAGCGAGACTCTTAATTTAAGTTGTTGAATTGATATAAAGATTTTTGTAATATGGTATCATAGTCAATTACAAACTTGTTGGGCCACTAGAGCCATGCTTTAGATGAAATATGTTCAAAGTTTCCATCATATAGTGAGGTATTGCTTTTGTTCCTACCAGGGTATGGAAACATGTTGTTCAGAAAGGAGACACAGTCATTGATGCCACGTGCGGTAATGGATTTGACACCTTAGAGTTGCTCAATTTGGTTGTTGACGATTCACATAATGGTTATGTGTATGCATTGGACATTCAGAAAGATGCTTTAGCTAAGACTTCATCGTTATTGGAAGAATCGATTAATTCCTATCAGGTGAGAACTATAAAGGACTGAAGTTTTCAGCTTTGAATTGGTAAAGAATATTAGAGGCTGTTTAATTGAAAACAATTAGGAGCTTTTATGTCACCAACCAAAATTTCAAATTCATGCAGAAACATGTCGAGCTCTTCAATATTTGCCATAGTAAAATGGAGGAAGTTGTTCAAAGGAATTCCTCGGTTAGGTACTCACTTTCCCTTAACTTGCATCATCTCTCTATTCTTATTGTGTTCAGCCTTAGTTCCAACTTGGTTTCATCTACATGAATGAATCATGTAAAGAGTAAATGGAGAATTAATTCAACGAGTGATGATTCATAAGTTCAGCTATCATAAAATTAGTTTTGTTGATTCTGAAAACTCTTAATGTGCTGCATACTTTTAGGCTTGTTGCCTTCAACTTAGGTTATCTACCGGGAGGCGACAAAGAAATAATAACAAGATCCGAAACGACATTACAAGCATTAGAAGCTGCAGAGAGAATCGTAATACCAGGAGGGCTTATTAGCATAGTCGTATATGTCGGCCACCCTGGTGGAAGGTGATATTTCTGATTCTTAATCTTACACAAACATTGGTTATAATTTTCGATTTTCATAGTTGTATAATGTTTTAAAATCTGTTCAGGGAAGAATTGGAGACTGTTGAAACTTTTGCTGCTAGAATGTGTGTTGAGAATTGGATCTGCTGCAAGCTACAAATGTTAAACCGGGCAGGTGCTCCAATACCAATTTTCTTATTCAGAAGATAATGTAAAAATACCTTATAGATGTGATTGTGTGAATTTTAAGGATCCTTGTGCCTCTTTTAAAAGATGGAGGATCTTCCTTCTTGAATTCATTCTTGGAAGAACTTCTTAAATATTTATCTTATTCTTGAGTAAATTTTGACATACTGTAGTAGTGTTTCCTATTAAAACTTTCAATAAGCCACTCCCTCTATTGATGTATTAATTTGATAGATATATCGTTGAAATATTAAATTAGATTTGTTAAAATATTAAATTTGATTTGATTAGATTTAATATTTAAATATAATTTAAGTTGTGTAGACCCAAATTCAATTAGGATCGTATATAATTAGTCCTAGTCTGTTTCATTATTTAAATTATTCAATAATACAAATTTTCATTTTTTTTATTATTCTCTCTTTCTTTCCTCAATAAAGTGTCTCACGCACTAACAAATTGGTATCCAGAACTTCTGGTTATTGTTCTGGATCGAGTTTTCAAGAATTTCAAGTCAGAGATCGTATTTCTAGGGTAAGTGAATCAACCGCTGTGAAGATGGCTAGTGATAAGGGCATTCTGAATTCTCTTTCAATGCTTGACGGTAAAAATTGGATCCGATGGAAAAAATAGATGCAATTCTTGTTTGACTTCCATTAAACCCTAGAAGTGGTTATCGACGACGTTCCTGTGTTGGCTGCAAATGCAACTGACGAACAGAAAAAAGCCCACAACGAAGTCAAGAAGAAAGATTGCAAGGCTGCTTATTACATTCAGACGATGGTCAATGCTGCTAATTTCGACAGAATCTCTCATGCTGAAACGGCGAATGAGGCATGAGATATTTTGGTGAAGTATAGGTGAGAAAGTCAAGGTTGTCAAGTTACAAACCTTGCGTCGACAATATGAGTTGTTGTTGATGGGAGAAGATGAAAAAGTTGCAAAATATGTGTCGAAGGTTCAAAAACTCGTCCATGTCATGAAGGATTGTGGTGAAACCATAACTGATAAGATGATAGTTGAGAAGGAATGAGAATATTGACCTCTCACTTTGATCACATTATCGTAGCTATTCAAGAACCCAACAATCTTGAAATCACTAAAGTGGGAGATTTGGTTGGTTCGTTGGAGGCGCATGAGATAAGGATTGTCGAAAGGAAATGAGTGCAAGACTTGATACAGGCTTTGCAAGCTCAGTCATGGGAAAAGGATGGTGGTTCCAACAAACTCAAAGGCAAGTTCGACAAGACTCGGGACAAGAAGTCTTGGTCGAAACCTCACAAACATCAGATCAAAAATGGAGCTTCTGAATCCTCGAAAAGAGGAGGAGGAAACTATCAAATGGGGAAAGAAGATAAAAAAAGGTATGTAGTGCTATAACTGTGAAAAATGGAGTGACGTAGCCAAGAATTATTGGTACAGAAAAGACAAGGGATCGACAAGAATTGTTGGACAACTAGTCGAAAAATGTTTCTCAATTGTCATGAAAGATGGAGTTTTGAAATTGTTCGACACCAAGAACAATTTGGTCTTAAAATCTCCGTTGTTGAAGAACAAGACATTTAAGACTATGATCAGTTCGACTGAAGTTCAATGTTTGAAAAATATTTTTGACCACAAGGATAGTTGGTTGTGGCATTTGAGATTTAGACATTTGAATTTTCGATCACTCAATCAACTGATTACTCAAGATATAGTTACTGGAATTCCAAGTCTTGAGATGCCTGAAAAACTTTGTGAAGGTTGTTTAGTAGGAAAGCAATCCAGGAATTCTTTCGTTTCGACTATGCCAATGAGATCATCTTGCATACTCGAAGTGGACCATTCAGATGTATGTGGTCTATTCGAAGAACATACAATTGGTGGAAACAAATATTTTATTTTGTTTGTCGATGAGTTTAGTCGAAAGCTGTGGATCTATGTGATCAAACGAAAGGACAAAGTATTCAAAATCTTTAAGAGATTCAAGATACTTGTCGAAAACCAGAGTGAGAAGAAGATCAAACTTATGCGAACAAATAGAGGTGGCGAATACACATCCAAGATGTTTGAAGATTTATGTGCAGAACATGGTGTTGATCATGAGGTAACTGCTCTTTATACACCTCAACATAATGGAATTATTGAAAGAAGAAACATAACCATATTAGATATGGTGAGATGCATGCTGAAGCAAAAGAATTTTCCAAAGTCTTTATGGATAGAAGTAGTTTCGACTGCAGTTTATATTTTGAATAGGTGTCCTACCAAGATATTGAAGAACAAAGTTCCTGAAGAAGTATGGAGTGGAAAATGACCATCAGTGAGTCATTTGAAGGTGTTTGGCTCTATGTGTTACAAGCATGTTCCTGATGCAAGGAGAAGGAAGCTTGATGACAAAAGTGAACCTATGATTTTGGTAGGATATCATAAAACTGGTGCATACAGACTATTTAATCCTGTTAATGAGACGATTGTGTTGAGTCGGGATATTGTGATTAATGAAAATTCTGTCTGGGATTGGAATTCTAGCAATTCAATTAACAAGCCATTGATGAGTTCTGATGTTGATGAAGAAACTGATGAAGTAGAGGTCAAAGGAATTGTTGAGAATCCAGTCGAAGTCGAAGAAGAAGCAGGTGCTGACATTCACAACACAGTCGAAATCTAAGAGCATGTGGCTGAAACAAGCCAAAGACCTTAAAGAAATAGAGTTCTTCCAACAAGACTTCATGATTATGAAGTAGTGGGTGATGATGAAGTCACAACAGATGGAGAATTACTTCATTTTGTTTTACTTGCAGGCGCTGAACCAATTAACTACAATGAAGCTTTGAAGACTAAACAATGGAAGTTATCTATGGTCGAAGAGTTACAGGCAATTGAGAGAAATAACACATGGGAGTTAGTCGAATTGCCAGCACATACAAAAGCTATTGAAGTAAAGTGGGTATTCAAGTTGAAACATAATGTTGATGGCTCGATAGCAAGACATAAAGCAAGATTAGTAGCTCGAGAGTTTCTTCAAAGAGAATTACTCGACTACTCTTAAGTATTTGCTTCAGTAGCAAGATTGAAGACTGTTCGACTAGTGGTAGCATTGGCATGCAACCAAGGTTGGTCGACATTTCATTTAGATGTGAAATCAGCATTTCTGAGTGGTCCTTTAGACGAAGAGGCCTATGTAACACAACCTTCACGGTTTGTGATTCATAAGGAAGCAAGTAAAGTATATAAGTTGCACAAAACGTTCTATGGCCTCAAGCAGGCACCAAGGGCATGGAACAAGAAGTTCGACTCATACTTAGTCGAATTGGAATTTGTCAAATGCAAATCTGAGTATGGTGTCTATGTTCAAGTTGTTGCACAAGATATAACAATCCTCTGCTTATATGTCGATGACTTGCTAGTAACTGGAAATAGCTTGGAGAACTTATCGAAGTTCAAAGAGCTAATGATGAAGGAATTTGAAATGTCTGATCTGAGAAAATTGTCTTATTTCTTAGGTATGGAATTTCAAATGTCGAAGCAAGATATGGTGCTACATCAAAGGAAGTATGCCAAAGAAATACTTAAGAGATTCAGAATGGATGATTTTAATCCTGCACCCTCACATGTCGAACCAAATGTAAAATTGGAGAAGAATGTAGAGGAAAACAAAGTCTAAGTAACTTTGTTTAAGCAAATTGTGGGATCTCTGAGGTATGTGTGGAACAGTCGACTTGATATAGGTTTCGATGTAGGATTAGTAAGCAGATATATGAGTGAACCAAAAGTGTCACACATGAAGGCTGCAAGAAGAATCCTGAGATATTTGAAGGGTTCGATAAACTATGAAATACTATTTTGACGAGATTCTGAAGACAAAGAAGCAATAGTTAATTTTTTTCAGATGCTGATTGGTGTGGAGATAAGGAAGATTGAAAAAGTACAATTGAATATTTCTTTCAAGTATTTGGTGCTCCAATCACATGGTGTTCGAAGAAACAACCTGTGGTGGCCTTATCATCTTGTGAAGCTGAATATATAGCAGGATTCTATGTTACCTATCAAGCAATTTGGATCAGATCTGTACTTGAAGAAATGAAGGTCGAAGTGAATAAACCTCTTGTATTACAAATCGACAACAAGTCCGCCATAAATCTGGCGAATAATCCAATTATGCATGGAAGAAGTAAACATATTGAAGCAAGGTTTCGCTTCTTGAGGGAAAAGGTAAATCGATGTGATTTTGAAGTAAGACATTGCTCGAGTGAAGCACAATTGACTGACATTTTCAACAAAGGATTGAAGATTGACAAATTCTTGAATTTGAGAAAGAAATTAGGAATAGTTCAGATTGACTATTTTTTAGGATGTTTGACAATTTATATTATGGGGTGTGTTGAAATATTAAATTAGTTTTGTTAAAATATTATATTTGATTAGATTTAATATTTAAATATAATTCAAGTTATGTAGACCTAAGTCCAATTAGAGTTGTATAAATAGTTCTACTCTGTAACATTATTTATACAATTCAATAATATAAATCTTTATTTTCTTTATTATTGTCTTTTTCTCTCCTCACTAAAGTGTATAAAATGACAAGTGTTTTGAAAGAAAATAAGTGGTAGGTTTACAATTTCTGACCTGTAAATCACACAGAGTACTTATATACAAAATAATAGTTATAGTTAAGTATAGATTGTGCATTCTTATTGATCTTAACTAAGCATCTTTTGTTTTTTTTTATACCTTGTTTCTTTGTAACAGTCTTGAGTGATTCGTCCAATCTTAAGAGGTTTTCTAGACTATACATCACCTTGTATTTCCTGTTCTTCATTCAGTTTGTGTGAATCCCTGATCTAATTTGAGTTTCTTAATTTATATCAATGTTCATATGAGTAATTCTTGCCTTCATTAATATCTTTTGTATGAATTTGTAGAAGACATTACTGTTACTATCGGACATGTCTGTTTTCTCCGTATTTTTTCTAAAACATATTAAAGTTTTACATACATACTTTTTTTTCTTCTTTCTTTTAGATTTTTGCAAGACAGAT